GTTTCACTTACCTGCAGCCAAGCACAGTCCGAAGCTATTAAATGGAAAATTCTAGAAATAAACAACTCATAAGTTTTAAAATGATGTGCCATTCTGAGTAGCAGGATGAAACCTCGCTGTGCCCTGTCCAGGATGTGAATCGACCCCAGAGTATTCACTGTGCCCATACTGCCTCCAATTACGTTCAGAACCTCAGGACAGCCACTAGTCCTCCAGAAAACCCCCTGTAGTAGTCCATTTTCTATTGTTCTAACAGGATGTCCAAGACTGGGTGATTTATAAAGGAAAGAGGTTATTTTGGCTTACAGCTCTGAAGGCTGAAAGTCCAAGACTGGGCAGCTGCATCTGCCAAGGGCCTTGTGTTGCATCATAACACAGTGGAAGCCAGGCGTGCTGGTGCACACCTGTAATTCAGGCACTCAGGAGGCTGAAGCAGAAGCCTGATGGTGAGTTCAAGGCCACCCTGGAATACAGAACAAGACATTGCCTGCCTCAAAAATATCAAAACACCACAGTGGAAAAGCAGAAGGGCAAGCAGTTCACATGGAAAAGGCAAGAAAAACATGAAGGGCAAACTCATTTTATAATCTTACCTGCTGTTGCTTTCTTCCATGAGAATGGCATTCATCACTTAAAAACCTAATTGCCTCTTTGGTTTGATTTTGTATTGAGGGTTGAACCCAGTGCCTCTGCACTGAACCACATCCCCAGCCCTTTCTTTATTTTTTCTTTTTTTTTTTTTTTTGTACTGGGGATCGAACTCGGGACCTTGTGCTTGCAAGGCAGGCAGCAGAACTTTATTTTTTCTTCTGAGACAGGGGTCTCACTGAGTTTCCTGGACCAGGCAGGCAACTGCCTCAGCCTCCCAGAGGCTTGGGATCACAGCGTGTGCCACCAGACCCGGCTCTAATCACCTCTTAACATCCCACCTTCCAGCACTGTCACAGTGGCAGTCAGAGTTCAACACAAGTGTCAAACCACAGCGTCTTCCAAAGTGGCTTCCCCTCTGTGAATGAGGTCCTGCTCTGGAATTAAAGAAACTCCATGTTGCTGAGGGAGCATCTGTCCACAAACCTCATCCTGCCTGCTCAGCAGATCTCCACCACAGGACCACTAGCAAATTGCTTTACCTTTGTTCCCTGGCTGGGGAGGCGGAGATGTGGGCTCCGTAGATTAGTTATGAAGCAGAAGACAGTGTTATCACTCACAAAGCTGGAAGGCTGGCAATTGCCTGCTGTGGTGGTGGCTGTCACCAGGCTGGGGTTTCACTTTCCCATCTTGCCCTCTGTGTTCAGTGTTGCACTGGTAAATGTTTAAGAACCAGCTCTCCAAAAGCAAAGCCCTCGTTGGTAGCGCTTCTCCATTTCCTGGGTGTGAGTGCTGCCTCCGTGGCCTATCACTAGATCTGGGGGGAGAACATGCACCATTGGCTCTCGCAGGCTGGTACGAGCCTGCTGTTGTGGTTTTTAACTGTGCACTGAATGTCTTACTTAGGGGAGAGAGAGACTATTCATTAGCAGAGCACCTAGCATGGTTCCGGCATGTTGGCCCTCTCTCCCTGTTGTCTCTCCTGCATCCTCGGCCCTCACTAATTTGTGCAAACAGCACGCTGACCTTGAAGGAGCAGTCATGTGAAGTGGGGTCTTCCGGAGCTGAGCACCCTCTCCTTGCTCCCCACCTGCCAGGCTCCCCGACCCTCAGACTGTAGAGGAGATCCAAAAGTCCGCTCACCGAGGAGTGTGCAAGGGGAAGGCAGGTCCTGTCACTTTCTAGGGAAGACATGCTCTGAGCAGACAGGAACAAGGTGGAAGCTGCCCTAGAGGAAAAGCAAGCAAAGGCCCAGAGAGTGAAGGGACTCGGTAGCTGCAGCCCAGCCTAACCTTTACCTGCACTGTGGTAACACAGCAGGCGTGTGTATAGGTGGGGTGGTCCAGTGATGTCCCCAACAGCTCATCTCGGGTACAGTGGAGGGGCAGACACTGGACTCAGTTTCTGGCTCAAGAGTTGGTGCTCAAGGGATTTTTTAAAATATTTTTTAAATTAATACATTTCTTTTACTCCTTCATACCCTGACCTATTGCAGAAGGGATATAAGGGATACTGGACGAATAGAAAAGTCCTAACCCTCAACAGCTCCTACTTTTGGAGCTCCAGTGGCGCAGTCGGTTAGCGCGCGGGACTTATATAACAGCTCCTACTTTTGCGTGTTCCTGAACAGAAAATGGGACTTTAAATCTAAGCATTAATACAGATTGCCAATAATTTTCGTTTAACTTCTTCTGGCTTTTCTGTATTTTTCAAAAGTATCTTCTAAGAGCACAGATCATTTTGTTATTTTAAAAATGAATATAAGAATATATAAAAATATATTAATATATAAAAATATATAAATAAATATAAGAATAAGCAGCCTGCAAATAAAAGTGAAGCAAGATGGTATCAATGTTTAAGGCACGTCAAGGGAAGATGTGTCGGCTGGGCAGGCATCATGCCTGCTACTCAGGAGGCAGAGGCAGGAAGATCAAAAGTTTGAGGCCCACTTAGACAAGTCTCCAAAAGATTGGGGGTTGGGGATGTAGCTCAGTGAAAGAGTGCTTGCCTACCATGCACAAGGCCTTGGGTTCAGTCCCCAGTCGTCACACACACACTCACACACACACACACACACACACACACACACCACACCCTGTCTCTACTGTGAGGCTCTGCCCATAGAGCCTCCTGTAACTCAGGCCCATGGCTCAGGTAGGCCCAGTACCAGCCTCCTCCATCTTGTCCCAGTTTAGTGCTCTCTCACCTCTGCCATGGGCCTCCCCACCTCCCTGGCACCAACTAACAGCGTCCCTTTGGTCACCCCCAGGCAGACAGATGGTGGGTTTAGCCCTTAGTCAGAAGTGGAAGTGGGAAGAGGGAAGTTTTCCAGTGAGGTAAAAGCAGACCACACCTACCAGGTGACCCACCAGTTAGAAATGAGTTGGGCCTGTGTCTCCATCCCTGCCCCACCATCCTCTCCTGAGGCCTGGGGAGGACACTCGTCTGGGAGTCCCCTGCCAGGCCACCAGGCCCAGCCCCTTAGTCCTTGCCTCCTCCAGGGTGAGGGGAGGGTCTCTGATCCTCTATATGTGCTAAAATGTGCCAGTTTTGTTTCCCTCAAAGCAGCAGGGCCCTCCTGAGGAAGGAACTCAGAGCCATGGGGCTTCCATTAGGATATTTGTTGGGTGGTTAACAAGCCTTCCTCTCATCTTAAGGAACTCGCCTCTTCCTTCTGGCCTAGGATCCCAGTTGAGAGAACCATCATGTGTTTGGGGTTTTCATCAAACATCCAGGTTGAATCTGTCAAATGAGGACTCAAGAGGAGGGTTGAACTTCCTCTCTCAACCTGAGAAAGTTCAGAAGGTTGTGCCAGAAGCACCTTCGCATGTACAGTGTTAAATAGCTCTTCCACCAACCCTATGAGGTCTTGGCTGCCCTGTTTTCTGAGCCCAGGTGATTTGCTTGGGCCAAGCTTCTGAGAAGAGATGGGAGGAGCTACCCAGGGGCTGCTGCTGCAGAGGAGCATCAGGAGATATGAGAGTTTCCTCAGAACCAACCTTTTTTGTGGGCAATGGTTTTATTGAGGTTAATTCAGTTCCCCCATTTAAAGTGTGGTTTCTAGTCCCTCGGGGCCCCACAGCCCAAGGCAGGTGTGAAACTGCTCTTTGTCAGCATGGATTTGCCTATTCTGGACACTTCACCTGAAGGGAGACATACAGTATATGGCCCTTTGTGTCTGGCTTCTTCCACTCAGCATAATGTATTCAGGGTTCATCCTTGTTGTAGCACATGTCAGTACTTTGTTCCCTTTTATAGATAAGAAACAGTATTCTCTGTTTTATGGCTATGACACGTTTTGTGTCTCCATTATTGGTGGCTGGGCATCTGGAAAGTTTCCACTTACTAGTTACTAGGAATGATGCTTCACAGGTTTCATATCAGACATACGCATTTGTGTCTCTTAGGTGTATGCCCCATAGCTGGTCTCTTGACAGTATCTATCTGCTCACACACGTCACTTCTTTGCTTTAAAATCCTCAGCAGCTTCCCATTGTTCTGAAGATCAGGTTCAAAATCCTCACTTGGGTCTATACAGCTACAGCTTCTAGACCGTCCCTCCCCAGCTTTACCCTGCCACCCCTACTGTGCTTCCCTTGTTCTGTCCCACCCGAGAGACCAGGGGCTCCTCCAGGACATACAGGCCCCTTCCTTGGCTTCAGCTTTGAAATTTCCTCACCCTCCTCATCCTGAGGTCTCAGCTGGCCCATCCCCTCCTCGTTCTCTGACACTCACACGAGGCTGGCCCCGGCCCATCCCCGCCTCAGCACCCAGCAGTGATGACAAGTGTCATTGTGTGTTTCGTGTTTCCACTTCCATTGCCTTAGGCTCCAGGAGAGCAGAGACCTTGTTCTGGCTCCCTCCAGTTTTCCCAGGTGCGCAGCACAGGGCCTGGCATTCTTGGGCACTCGGTGCTTATTTACCAGGTGAATAATGGATAATGAGGACAGCAAACAAGCCACTCATCCAGAGGATTCCTGTGGCCTTGGTGTCTCCCTTGGTGACAAGCACCCTCAGGCTACTGTGAGGCCAGGCTGGCTCCTCTTTCAGCCCCAGCCCTGTTCTCTCACTCAGCTGAGGGGCCACTGGTAATAGGCATAGGTTTGTGGGAGCCCCTGCCCAGCTCCATCTCCAGGCAGGGCTATTCCCATAGCATGTAATTAGGGGCAGCCCCAACACCACTGACCCAATAAGCCACCACACAGTCCATTTCTGGGGCGAAATGAGGACGATTTCTTTGAGACAATTGCTTCTTTGAAAGTTGAGGAAACTGCATTCCCTTTAGCAAAGATGATTGCCTTTCTGCGTGTCTTGTTTGAAAACTGTCCTTGAAGAAATTCCGAGAGGAAATTGTACACCTTCTGAGACTTAATTGCTTTTTCAAAAACACTGTTTTCATTTCCCCACAGATATGCACTTATTTGGCCATTACCCAGCACATGACGACTTCTATCTCGTAGTGTGCAGTGCCTGTAATCAGGTCGTCAAGCCACAGGTTTTCCAGTCACACTGCGGTAAGTGGACCCCTACATTTGGCAGATGCATTGGCAGTGGCCATTCTGGAGACAGTCACCTGCCCCAGGGGGCCCCAGCAGGGTCACCCTGGGTCTGCCTTAGCCCAAGGCTTGGGCAGACTCTTCCTGGGGCTGCTGCCTCTGCTCGCAGGGTGCCTGTTTTAGGAGCTATAGTCCTGCTGAAATGCTGGTCTGGTCACAAGTGAGACAGAGCCTGAGACTTGTCTTGATAGATGGGATCAAACTGAAAGCATCTGCCAACCTGGTGGTGGCCTCTTCAGGTTGCCAAGGGGAGGAGAGGAATTACTCTTCCAGCCTGAATTTTCTCCCCCTGAAATAGGGCCCAGATTTATCCCAAGGGGCTCTGGAACTAAAGGAGGCCCAGCATGTGGGTCACTAGATGCTGTCCCCAGGAAACAGCATGCAGGCCAAACCGCAGGTTCCACTTGTCTTTTTCCAAGAGTCCCCCGTGTTTAAAACAAAACAACAATTAAAAATCCAGGTGTGTTTGGGAATTCACCTTTCCTCTGTAGCTGAGCATCCTCATTGTGATAAATTCCTACAGTCGGTCAGCAGCAATCCCTGGACTCATCCAGCGCAGATGCGGTGGACATAACAACAGATAAGTCCACGTGGCTACTCCCCTCGGGGGACGAGTCAACAGCACCCTGACCCTAGACAGGAAATCACTTAATTGCCTTGGGTGGAAGTTCCCTTATCTTTAACAGGGAGTTGGGCCAGACTGTTTCCGATGCTGTCATATACTGGAAATCCAGAACAGTATTTCCCAATCATCTCCTTTCAGCTCCTTTCGATGAGTAAAATCTGAATGTTCTGCTTCACTGTTAAAGTTCCACAGCACATTCAATATTGTACCTAAAAAAAATCAAAGCAATTAAAATGTTGAATGTGCTTTTGTGAATTACATTTCTTCTTTCTCATACTGTATTTCTAACTTTCCCACACACCTGTATTTTTTATGGTATAATAAATAGGCATAAAACAAAAGAAGTAAATGTGTTTGGGACTATAGAATAGTTCATATATATACTAATTGCCTTTGTGACTATGTGTATATTTTTATATGATATGTACATACCTCTGTGTACAAAAAAATCTGTGTCTGTGTAAATACTGTGGGTCTGTTTGGGCTTGTGATGTATAGAAAGAAAATCTGGGCTCTTTTGTGAGTTAGTCTGAGACTTTCTGGCTGGTTGGACAGAAAAGGACCTAAAAGTGCTGGTGAGAGCCAGGGTCCAGCTCTGTGTCCTTGGGCTGCTTGGTTAATGTCTCTGGGTTTCGATCCCCTCGTCCCCTCCTGGAGGAGGTGACTTCCGTGGGCACATCTGGCTCTAACATTTTCACTTCTGGCAGCCGGAGTGTGGAAGGGGTAGTCCGTGACCTGGGCGTGAGCTGACCTTCTTACTCACCACTCAGAAGCAAATGGACTCTCTTCTGCCTGGGAGAGAGAAAAGGTCAGACCTCTCCACAGGGAAACTGTCAGAGGCCTCGGAGGTGACAGCTGAGGTGACAGCTGGGGAATCCAAAGCAGAACAGTGTCAAGAAAGTGCCACCCCACCAGGCCCCCATTTGGGGAAGGGCCGGGGGAGCCCCAGACCCACCTGCTGGGTGTGTTCTGCAACACAGACCAGTGCTGGGTCACAGGTGCCGTCTTCCTCCCCCAGTCTCGGTCTGCCATAGGTCCTGGGAACAGCAGAGAACAAAACAAGTGAAAGTCCTAGCCCACATGTGGCTCGTGTTCCATTGTAAGCCATGCAGACCTTCCCTGGAACCTGGTTCGGTGGCAGAGTTTTGATGAAGGGACGCTGAAAGTGACCCAAGACCCAACTGCCCTGTGGAGCGTGCCCTGCAGAGGAGCTGCTGGGCTGCAGGCATGGCTGATCCCAGTGCTTCCTTCAGGCCCAGTGCTTTTGGTGCAAGAGCCAAGCCTCAGCATAGCAGAGACCCAGTGGCTTTGCAGCCATCTGCTCTGAGCAGTGGAAGCAAATTAGTTTGGGACTTTGGGGTTACTGACCTCATCACTGGAAGCCGCTCTGCACTGGACTTCTTGCTGAGCCGGCGATAAGCAGCAATGGAGCCGTAGCCATGGCTCAGCCGGTGGAGGTCGAAGCCCCTCTCATCTTGCAGGTGTTCGTTCTGGTAATAAGAAAGCCATGCTCAGCAGGGCTGGGAGGAAGTACAAGGCAGAGCTCTGACCAGGGCAGCTCTTCCAGGGGGTGTTTGGCGGTTACACTCAGAATTCTCCTGTAGTTTCATGAGTGTCTTAGTTCTGGCTGCTGTACCAGAATACCACAGGCTGGGATGCTGAGGAGAATGTATCTCTCACAGTTCTGGAGGCTATAATTCTGAGAGTAGGGTGCCAGTATGGTGGGTCCTGTTGGGCTCCCTTCCTGGTCACAGACGGCCAGCTTCCTTCTGTGTCCCCCTGGGGTAGAAAGAGGGCAAGACAGCATTCTGGGGCCTCTTCTAAGGGCAGCAGTCCCACCCATGAGGGCGCTACTCTCGTGATGCAGATACTTCCCCAAACCCTTCTCTGTCACGCTGGGAGTTGGGGTTTCAGCCAGTGAATCTGGGGGAGGCACAGGATTCAGTCCACAGCATTTGATTTTTGCTGTTTTTACCTTGACCGATGAGCCTTGGTAGTCCCAATAAGTCAATGAGAATGCCACTATCTTAAGTGCCAGGCTGTGTCGGGTGCCTTCCATACCCTGAGCATGCCATCCTCTGACACCCCTATCAAGTGGGTACCAATATTATGTCCATTTTGGAATTGAAGAAGCTGAGGCTTGGGAAGCTCAGTCCCTTGCTCCAAGGTCCCAAAGCCAGCACGTGTAGAGCTGATTTTGAGCACAGGCAGCTTCGCAACAGAGAGAGCTTAGCCACTGTCCCCCACTGCCTCTCTGCAGGGAACCCCTGTCTGTAAATACAAGGGGTGATCAAAATAAATGGTAAATGCTTAAATTTTTAATAACTTATTACAGTGAAAGACATGTTGCCAAGAACAACTGGCTAAGTGTGCTCAAAGCGAGGGGATGGTATTTTGAGGGGAATTAATGGCAATGTGGCTTTTATTGTAATAAGTTTAATGTAGACATTCACTGTATTTTTGATCCTCATCATTGATCAAACATTTATGGCAGTTGCTGTCAAATAAAAAGATTATACTGTTTCAGGCCAGGGATGTGGCTCAGTAGTGCTGCCGCCTCCCTCACAAGCTCAAGGTCCTGAGTTTGATCCCCAGTACCAAAAAAAAAAAGATTACAGTGTGTCCTCATCCACCTTATTCACCACTTCTGGCACCATGCAACTTCTGGCTCTTCCCCAATGTCAAATGACCGTGACAGACAAATGTTTTGAATTGATTCAAGAATTGAGGCAGCCAGGACAGGGCAACTAAAGACACTCGCGAAAGAGGACTTCCAGAGTGGCTTCCGAAAGTGGTGAGGCCAATGGGATAAGTGTGCTCAAAGCAAGGGGGAGAATTTTGAGGGGAATTAGTGGCTATGAATCTTTTGCTGTAATAAATTTTTTCAAAATTTAAACATTAATTGTATTTTTTGACCACACCTTCATATGTATGAAAAGTGCAGCTGTTGAGGGTAAAATTGGAGCAGGGGCTCAATCCCCACCCACTTGGGCTTCCTCTGACCCTCCCAGCCCAGTCCACCACAGGGCACCCCACAGAACATCACTTGACATTTGTTGATGGGGTGGAAATCACACGGGTTTAGAGTCAAGCAAAGTGGTTGCAGAGCTTTCTGCTATGTGACCCTGGGCACGAGGGTCTTTCTCAGCCTCAGTTTCTCATGCATAAAATGGGCACCGCTGCCTGGCACGGGCTTGGGACAGTATGCTGGGGTGAGGCCTGGCATTCCTTCCCTTCTTACCTTCTCCCCGTGGCATCTTTCTCTACTGCCTCCAGCCGGATGAGAGTCTGCCTTGTGAATATTCATAGACATCTACTCTCCCGTGCCCCCTCCACCTTCTGCCATGCAGTCGTCTGCAGACTGTCTTCGCTTTCAGTGCCAAATATTCCTGTGTTCCTGGCACCCGAAAATGAGCTCATCATGGGTGTGTGTGGCAACATTTGAGATTAGGTGTGCAGATTGTTTAAGCTAAATTGTGTGTGTGTGAGTGTGTGTGTGTGTTCGGGCAGTCAGCTGTAGGGACACTTTGGAAACTGGTAGTTAGAGGAAAACTGTTCTCACTCAGGACTTCTGACGCCAAATATGTGGGCTTTCCACACCAGGCAGTCTCTGTGGACAGCAAGGGGGTGCCCTACCATTTAATTCAGGCTGACACTAAACCCGGAGTTAGCTCAGACCTCACAGGATAAAAGCTCAATCTCGCAACATGCCCCCACTCCAAATGAGTGCCCAGGTGCCACACTTCTGGCTGACTTGGCTACAATTTGGGATTCCCACAAACCCACAAAACCTCCTCAGTTCATTATTTGCTGTAATGACTCACAACTCAGAGAAACAATTACTGTGTTTTGTTTTATTTTTTGTTGTTGTTGTTTGTTTGTTTGTTTGAGACAGGGTATCACTATGTAGCCCAGGCTGGCCTTGAACTCCTGGCAATTCTCCTGCTTCAGCCTCCCAAGTGCTGGGATCAGAGGTGTGCATCACCACACCCAGCATGTTATATTATAATTACTGATAATAATCATGTTAGAAAAGATGTGATAAAGGATAGAGATGAAAGGCAGACATACAGGTTGAGGTCCAAGAGAGTCCCAGCAACAGGAGCTTCTGTCCTCATAGAGTCAAGGCACTGCCCCTGTGCCCCCAACACATGGATGCAGTGGGTACATTCACCAGCTGGGGTCTCCTCGAGTTGTCGTTAAGGGAGTTTTTATAGATTCCATGACACAGGCAGGATTGGTGAAAGCACTGGCCATTGGTAATGAGCTCTCTCCAGCCCTGGGCAGCTGGGACTGAAAGTTCCACTGGTCTGTTCAGTCAGGATGTTCCTGG